GAGAGAGAGAGAGAGAGAGAAAACACACTGCAGGTCACCCTATAGGGAAGATGAGACTCATCTGCTCATAGATTTCTCTCCCCAAGGTAAGAGGCTGCCTATACACATGCTCCTTGGTGTTCCAATTAGAGCACATCAGGGCAGACTCGATTAAATTAAGTCTGCTGCGCATTCTAATTAGAGTGCTCCAGCATCATGTGCATTAAGCCCCTGCACGTTTTTAAATTATGGGGTACTTTCTTGCTATCTGTGGCCATTTTTAAACATGCAGGGGGCTTAATACACATGATGATGAGGCATTTTAATTGAAATGGCTGCCTGGGAACTGCTCTAACTAAAACACCAACACCTCCAAGCACGTGTATAGGCACCCAGAGTTTTTACAACCATAGAAAGACAATTATAACAAAATAGGGATCAAAGGACCTCTGTAGGGCATCTAGTGCAACTCCCCAATTGAAGCAGAATAATCTATATCCAAACTATTCTACAGAAGTCCTTGTCCAACCTATTTCTAGAACTAGATAATTCTGTTGCACACCTAGAAGACTGGACATTAGGAAGAACTTCACAGTTCGAGTGGCCAAGGTCTGGAACAGGCTCCCAAGGGAGGTGGTGCTCTCCCCTACCCTGGGGCTCTTCAAGAGGAGGTTAGATAGGCATCTAGCTGGGGTCATCAGCCCTCTTTCCTGCCTATGCAGGGGGTCAGACTCGATGATCTATTGAGGTCCCTTCCAACCCTAACATCTATGAATAAAAATATTAAAAGCCTTGGTGATACAAAGCAGGTGCACGAAGGTGCACATGCACCCCCCCGAGATTGGCAGTCCACCCCTGCAAAAAAGTACTGCCAACACCACTGGTGGCACCTATGTGCAGTTGTTACCTACCACCCCCACCCCAGCCGCTGACTGTCTGCCGGTGGTCCCTGATTGGCCCCTGCCACTGGCAGCATCTGAGGGTCATCGCTGACTGCTGGTCAGCATTTGCCACCCCCTGCCCACCACTCCGTGCCGCAGCTGCCTATTGGAGCTCATGACCGCCACCACCAGCACCAACATGAGCTCGCCATGCCCCCTTCCCCCAGGGTCACATGGTGTTCATGATTAAATAAGTACCCTTATATGCCACAAGTAAGCCAGGGGGGAGGAGGGCTGTCAATAACAACCCTCACTTGTGGGATAAAATACTGAAGAGATCCAAACAAGTGGGCCATAGCACTTGCCTCCAAAAGACAAGAACAGAAAAATCTGTTTGCACCAATCCAACTAGTGTAAAACTCCTTCCTGATCCAGAAGGAGAGCAAGCAAGGTAATTAGTTTTGCAGAATGGGATGGGTCAAGCTTCAATAAAAGCTCAAGAGGATAAAGATTATAACAAAAAACAAAACAAAACAAAAAAACCCAAAAAACTCATAACTAAGCCTACCAGATATAAGGAAATACAATTACCTCTTATGTTTAAGAGACAGAAGTTCAGAAACATTGCAATGAAGAATTTAAAGCCATTTTTGTGATAGAAGAAGAGAGAAAAAGAGAGCCGAGACATCTTCTCTGTAGTGCTTGAGGGGGAAGTGTGGGGAGCAAAAAGCTTCTGCTTTTTTAAACGAAGTTGAGCAAAGTGGTGGTGAAATGACAAATCTTACAAGCTGGAAAAAAGAAAAAGTTAAGAGCCTTTGTGACGCATTAGTTTCCCTTCTCACAAAAAAGTCACATTGGCCTTCTGTCCCAACCCCAAAATTCAGAGAAGCTAAACTACACAAGTCCACTTAATGTTAGTAAGAAGTAGGAAGAACAAGCAGACATTCATGTTGTTGTCACCATCTGGTCTGCCTGCCTGGCTAACACGATACATATCAAGAGACTCATGCAAGAAGTTAATGTAGAATGGGCACAGTGCAGTGCATGCTATCATCAGAATAGGGCATTTGTATTCAGGAAGGAGACTGCAGGCAGAAATATTCAGATCTGGGCCAAAACCCAGGTAAGCATCACCTCTCAGCTTCTTTCACACTAGTGCCATACAGGGATGATAGGTACGCACAAGTGACAGTTGCAGCATTAGCATAGTAAAAAACACTTGTCAAAAGTGGATTTTCACTAAGTGGAAGCCAAGACAGCCATGATATAGCGGTCCGTAGGGAAGGACTAGTAACTGACTCCTCATTGCCTCTTATAAAAAAGTGTGGGATTAACTGTTAGCTTCTGCCACCATCCAAGAACAAGAGATAGGGAATATCTGTAGGAAGACTATCACTCATTCTTATGATCAGTCTGTGTAGAAGTGACAGTTACCCACTGCCTTTAAGAATGCACTGGTCATTAAGTGATATTACAAATCTATAGAAGCAGATGTACAGAGTTAAGGATTGACACTGTGGAATATTGCTAGTCAAGAAACAGTGCAAAAGCAACCTGTGAGAAGCCAGAATGGTTCACTTTCAAGATCTCAGGTTAAAGTCAAAAGGCAGTTGAAGAGCATGAATATAGGATCAGTAGAGGATGAAGAGGATTGGCATCTCATCCCAGTCTCATAAATAAGATAAGAGGCTGTGACTTAGATGATTACACGATCTGGTGGGTGGCAAATTAGCTGGGGTGGGGTGGGGGTGTTGCACCCAGAGAGTGGTAGTAGACAGGTCAGTATCGACCTGGAAGGACATGGGCAGTGGGGTCCCGCAGGGCTCAGTCCTTGGACCTGTATTCTTCAATGTCTTCATCAGTGATTTAGATCTCTGTCCAAGTTTGCGAATGATAGTAAATTGTGGGGGTGAAGTGAACACAGAGTAAGGAATGATCGCAGGCAAATCTGGACAGGTTGGTAGAGTGGGCAGAACACAATAAGATGCAGTTCAACAAGGACAAGTGCAGAGTGCTGCACCTAGGGTGTAAAAATATCCAGCACACTTACTGGCTGGGGAATGACCCTCAGCAGCACAGAAGCAGAAAGGGATCCGAGTTGTAGAGGACTCCAAGATGAACATGAGTCATCAGTGTGATGGAAAAAAATCATCAGCAAAGCTAACTGCACTTTATCATGCATCAGCAGATGCATGACAAGCAGATCCAAGGAGGTGAATACTTCCCCTCTATGCAGCATTGGTCTGACTGCTGGAATACTGCATCCAGTTTTGGGCACCATACTTTAAGAAGGATGTAGATGAAGACCTTGAGAAGGTCCAGAGGAGGGCCACTTGTATGGTGAAAGGGTTTGCAGGCCAATCCCTAAGAGGAGAGACTAAGGGAACTAGATCTCCCCAGTTTTCTCTTGCTGAGGCTGAAAGGATCTTGTGGCTACCTACAACATTCATTAGGGGAGGGCAGCAAGGAACCAGAGATGCTCTATTCACCAGGGCGCCTCTTGGGGTAACAAGGAACAACGGCCACAAACTGACACAGCAGATTTAGGTTGGATATCAGGAAGAACTTCACCGTAAGGGTGGCCAGAATTTGGAATGGGTTTCTAAGGGAGGTGGTGCTCTCCCCTACCTTGCGGGTCTTTAAGAGAAGGATGGATAGGCATCTGGCTGGGGTCATCTGACCCCAGCACTTTTTCCTGCCCAGGGCAGGGAGTCAGACTCGATGATCTGTTGAGGTCCCTTCCAGCCCTAGCATCTATGAACCTATAGCACTGCAGCTTTACATGAAGAGGGGCCCACTCAAACTACATGTGCAGTGAGGCTGGTCTAACACATTGCAATCACAGGTATGCCAATTACCACACAAGCACCACACATCCATCAGTGTCCCCATGCTGAAAAGTGGTGGAGGAGGTACTTTAACTAAAGCTCATTCAACAAGCTTTTATTTAAAAGCATCCCCAGTGCCATTTTTCAGCATGGTGACACTGATGCATCTGATGATGATCATGGTGCTTTAAGTAAAACAACTCTTGGAGCCACTGTAATTAGAGTCCCCCCCCCATGCATAAATGCCCCTTGCAATTAACATTTGCTTCTTTGTCCATCTCTTGTACAGCATTGTGGCCTTCAAGCAACGTTCAGCATCTGGTTCCTTTGAAGTTCTGACAGACTGACACCATGTAACGGAAATTTTTTTGAGCACTGGAGCCATGGTGCAGGGTGGAGGAGCACCCTGGCTTACTGCCTCAGTCAGAGGACTTACAGGAAAATGTAAAGAACTGGGTCTGCCACTTTAGTCCCTGTGGTTTAAGCAGAAATTGCTAGCAATCCTCATAAAAAGAACCGTGCCAGTGGTAACCATGTGACAGAACGCCATCTCAAAGTAGCTAGCAGGCCAAGACCAAAGCACTCAATAGGCATAAACCCACTGTGCGGGCCGCCTCCCGATCTCGTCCATGTCGCCATGTGCGAGCCGGGAGCGATATGCGGACCCGTTTTTGTGCGTGCGGGCTGTGGCCAGCAGCCTGGGCATGCGGGGTCGAAGACAACTGGTGGCGAGCTAGAATTAGTTACGGACGCATAATGGTTGATTAAAAGATTGTTTACTTATACCAAAGATGGTCATGGTGTAGGCTGGACAGTTTTCCAGGCTCAGCTCTGCTTAAGTCCTCGCTAGAGGACTCCGACAATTGACCCCGGAGTGGTTGAAGCTCCGCGGGTTCGGCTCGGTAATTGGCCCCAGAGTGGTTGAAGCTCCACGGTTTCGGTAGTTTCAAAGGAAAGGGATACGTTTTAGGATTGCGCTCGGCGACAGGGAGAGGCTAGAGGCCGTTTGGCCCCCGGAGTGGTTGAAGCTCCGTGGGTTCGGTAAATAGGCCCCTGGAGTTGTTAAGACTCTGTGGGTTCGGTAAGTCGGCCCTCTATTGCCCTCTTAAGGAGAAGAAAAAGCTGGAGTTCGAAGGGATTAGCAGCGCTTAGAAATCTTCACGCGCTCTCTCTCTCTCGCTCTCGGAAACCTCCCAAGCTCTTTATACGGCTAGCAAGCCAATCGCTAGCTGCCACGTGTGCATAATTTAGGATCGGCCAATAATGTGGCGCAAATCTAAATACAAATGGCGGGAACTCCTTTGCACCGTGCATCACTACGATGCAAAAGAAATGCACCATGCAAAGAAGGCTATAAACTGGTGGGAAATACTGTTTTGCACGCAGGTTCTCCTATTGCAACAGAAAGCTCTACCGTGCAGAGGAGATGCAATTTGGCGGGAACATAATTTAGCAGTGCCGAAGCACACAAAAACAAAAAGCCACAACTTTGGGTTGTGACACCCACTACTCACCAACAGGAAGACTGCCCTACTGTTTTACAGAGAATGGTTGCAGACAATTTTTCTAAGTTAGTTCACACCATCTGAAATGTAATGATGAAAAGGGAAACTGTCACTGCAGCTAGTAGGTTCACCCCTCTCCAGTTGCCACTGTAATTGGAAAGTTCATTCATTTCAGTGATTGAAAAAGAACTGAAGTATAGGACTTGGACCAAGTTGTTAAATAAGTTTTGAGGTGGTGGGGCAAAGGTGCAGGAACAGAAGAGGGGTACAGACCATGCTAGAGTAACCACTTTATCCACTGAAAAATCCGAGACATTTTTCAGGGGCTTTGGCTTAGGAAAAAGTGCTAAGGAGTATCAGAAGTTAAACATGCACAAACACCCCTCCCCCCCCCCCCCCCCCCCAGTTCTTGACCATGGTGCAGAACAAGTGCATTAATCCATGTCATTCAGAAAAAAGCTACTGTGGAGGGTTGGGGCATTGACTAAAGATGACCTGTCAATAACTTGGATATAAGGGCTTTGAATACTATTCGAGTAGAGACTGACAATCTAGGAAGAGTCCTTCAATGTTACTCGAGACACACAGACACAGACACCATGAGGAGTTGGAAGGGAAAAGGAAAGACACACATTACCCTGAAACCAAACCCTAGTGTAGTTCTAACCCTTACACTGTTTTTCCTGGAAGAAGAGGAATAGAAACTTACTGAAATATAGCAGCAGCTGAATAGAGAAGACAAAAGGCAGCAAAGGAGAAGTTCTTAAGGGCAGGGACTGCTAATTCTATTTGTATGTGGCGGGGCGGGTCAGACTACTATGAAACAGTCAGCTGCATCTGTGCAATGCCTTCAAGTGACGTGTATTGTAACTTATAATCTTCTACTATACTAAATCGATGGGTGGGTGGGGGAGGGGAATGCATGCTAGTTCCACACTGGCTGTGAACTGAAGTTGGAACACCTGTGTATGCGTTTTAGGGGCATGTACAGAAGCACAGTGAATGGAAAGAAGTTCAGAAATACCCCTATGAAAAAAAAAAACTTCAGTTAATAGTGCTGTATTGTTATGCACATAAAGCATCACCACTATACAAACACTTGTATACAGCTTGCATTAGATATGCAATAGGTTAAATCGGGTAAAATCAATAGTTATTAAAATGTGCGCCTGCACTCGTATGTTCACCAATGCACTGAGAAAAGTAATTTCATGGAGCTTCTTATTCAAGACCACAGCGTGGTTCTGGTATCTGTCCCCAGTCTTTTGGAAGCAGCATCTTGATACAGTTTAAAAAAAGGAAGGGTAACAGTTTGGGGAAGGAGAAGCACTTCTGAGAGCTAGAGAAAGGTTTGCACAGGAGCTGAGAGGAACCATCCCTTGAGAAAATGGGACCTGAAGCATGAGGACTGAACAAATCAGAGAAAAAAAAAAAAAAAAAAAGTATTGTTCTCCCCACAGCAAACAGCACATGTAGGAAGTTCAGAGCATGAACTGTACCACAAAGAGCCACCTCCTTAAATAAGAATAAAGAAAATGATTTCATGCATCTAGTACAGATGATCTTGGGTTCTCCAAGTCCCATGAACAGCAGGATTGTTTTTAGTGTAGCTGAACTCAAATGGCTTAGAGGGAAGCTTTAAAAGCGGGATGATTTTCATCTCTTGTACCCTGCTAAGGAAATGGGTGGTTGTGTGGTTGAAATGCTGGGCCAAGACCCAGGAGTCCTGGGTTTCACTCCCAACTGAACCAGTCATTGGGCCCCAGACAGCATCTCATTCTCCTCAGACACTCTACCAAAAGGCAGAGCATCAATGCCGTGGTGCTAACTTGGGGGTGGACACCAACTACTAGACAAAACCAAAAAGTTAACACAAGTTCTAGCTAAGCCGGAAGTACTAAAATGCACAAGTTTGAGCACAGACAGACAGGGCAATGAACTCTCCAGCAAAACAAGGACATGGCTCATGCTTCGGGTATAGTGGAGACTACACAAAAATGAAACATGAGTATTCTAGGTAAAGAAATCATCTTTTAATACATTTATTGGTCCATTCCTTTAAATTAATTGAGGTAAAGAAACAGTGTATTAAAAAATGTACACACTAATAGTTAACAAGCATTACAAATTATTTACCTCAAAGTGTTTTCATCAATACTAGTTTTGTAGTAAACAATGCACAGAATGTGTATACAGAGATATATGAAAAAGGAGAACAGAAAACATGCCAGCACCTCAAGTCAAGGAGACAAATTCATATCCCACAAGATTTAGGGGAAAAGCACACAACAGTTAAGTTTGGTTGAAGGCATGAAATAAAACCCACTCCAATCTGTACATCATCCACTAGCTAATTCACAAACACAAATCTTCACAGCTTTCATTGGTTTCTAATGATAGGCAAAATAATGGGAGAGTGACCAGAGAATGAAGAATAAGCCAAGTTTCTATAAAATTAGTGTTGTTTTTGTTTTGGGTTTTTTACTTCAAGGAGTCTTAAATATAGTATATAGTTGGACACCTAGCTAGTGAGTTACTAATCTTCAGTATGTGCGTACTCACTGAGCAAGAAGGGGACAAATTCTTAAGTGTGCTGGCAGAACTCCAATTTCATGCCAAAACAGTTGCCAGTTTTTTGGCATGAACTCCCCTAAATGTGATAGGGAGCTACAAGTGCAGGCCCATAGGAAGTAGAAGAGATAGGACAGTGCTGACTAGGTTCCATACACAGCAGAGATGAGGGAATACTCTAGTTTGCCAACTGTTGCATAAACCAAAATCAGCATCATCTATTCAGATGCTGTGCAGATAACAGGTCCCAGTGCTGGATCTGCATGACTAGAGCCTCTTCCCAATGGAAACCAGTGCTGTAAAGGGTTCAGCTACTACTAGGACCATAAAATCAGGACCCAAGCTATTTAAGTTCAGGATGACATTGGCACCCCTGACTTATGTTTTTGGCATTTACTCTCTCCAAGAGTGACTTATACAAAAGCTTATAGCTCTTTAAGAGCAGCTCTCTCTAATGAGTACTGTCTGCTTTTTCTGAGTCAATCCCAAACTAAAATACTGTTAATTATAAACTTATTTCTATGTATCAAAGAGCCCTGGCAAAGCAATGTATGTCAAGCACAATATTGATTTAGTTCTTTACAAAATCAAAAAGTGCCCAAAATACATTTTAAATATTGATATTTAAGCTTTCACATTAAAAAAAAAAAAGACGACAAAGTTGTTTTTTTTTTCCTGATGGTCCCTAGTTTCACATCAAAAATATATTTGGCAAATATTAGCAAGATCTTTTTTTTTTTTTTTTTTTTTTTAGGGAAAAAGACTTCCTTCCTCAAATGTTCTTCATTTGTTTGTAGTAAAAAGTTTTAAAATATCAAAGAAAACTGTCTTTGTACCTTTAGTGTTTAAAAGGCAGCTGAACATCAGATGAGTTTAACTAAGAGACACAGCACATGTGCCCACAGTTCTGCACACAGACCAGTGGGTCAGAAGCACCAGCTATTGAAGACCAACATTGTTATTATTAACCTAAGATTGGATTAACAGTCTGCAGCATCATTCAATTTTGCACGATTCCTTCAGCTATATGGGCCATTTGTGAATAGGGCTCAAAACGGCAAACATACCACATGAGCAACGTTACAAGAGTCATCCCATTCAGTTTAGGGGAAACTGCTCGTGTATGTGAAGCATTTACAGAACTAGAGGGCATCAAGTAGTATATACTGTGGACAAGTGCTACACAGAAGCATCACCACAGAGCTCAAAACATACTGCTACAGCACTGCCAACTCCAGCTGTAGACCTTGCTGATGTGATGTCAACAGCTGCTATTAATGCCAAATCACATGCAGTGGTTTTGAGATGCAGACCATCAGATGTCACTTGGGGATGAGCCAAGTGGAAAGCTGTTTGCTAATGCATGAAGCTACTCAGCAATTTCCATAATTAATAGAACCTGTCCTGATAGAATTTAGTTTGCCTCTCTCATATCTTATTCCCCTCACATTCTGCACCTTGCCTCCTCCCCACAACCACATAGACACTCACCTCCAGGATGGGAGTCACATTATGAAGAAGCCAAAAATGATTTTGCCAAGGAAAGTAAAAGATGAAGTTATGGCACATCTACACAGTACCAGAAGTTACTGGATGAAAGAGCATTAGGCAGTGGAGCTGCCTGAAGTGCCCTCATTATTTAAAATTAGAGTCTTATTGAGGAGCAGTGTGTGTTTAAAGTTCTCCCATGTTTATTGCAACAGTCAAAACCTAATAAGATTATGTAGACAATATAGAAAACCCACAAAAAACCCCCCAAAATCCACAAAAAAGCCTCAAAACACATACCAGAACAGAGTAAGAAAGCCTGTGCTAAACAGTGCTTGCCAAGGTGGGCTAGTGTCAAGAACTGCAGTAACCAAACAACTGCACACATCAGAAGTGATGGAAGCAGCAGTGAATGGCCTGCTCCCTCAAAAGGACAGGCAGCTGTGGAACCGGGAGATGAGGAGCAAATCTAATGCTGTGGGAAGGTGCCAGGCCATGAAGTTCAGATCCCAATGTTAACCTCAGGCTCACAAAAAAGGGGAGGGCAAGCCTTCCATTTGGATTCTGCAGTCTCTAACCAACATGGAACACTTATTTCATTTGAACTAAATAAATAGCATGTGTGACACCAAGTCTACATATCCAGAAAGTAGCCCATAAGTACCTCCTTTTTCAGGGTACTGTAAGTGCCCATTTAGAAGAAAAAAAATTGTGCAACAAGGTTGCTCTTCAATGGGTTTATACTTGGTTATTTCAGTAGTC